GCACTGGGCATATCTCTAACCCTTGGTGTGACTAATGACGGACAACATCGTTGGGCCTAGTCGCGGACTTGCCTCTAGCCTCTAGCCCACTCACCACTTGCCACTCGCCGCTTTCCACTTGCTGCCGCTCGTTTGTTTAGTCGCCACGATGTAAATAATGAAATAATATGCTTTTTCTCTTGTCTACCATGAAAAATTAACGCGCTGCCCATTCTGGACTCGTTTTCAGCTTTTTATATCGCTGGACAGTTGGTTTTTGCTTTCATTTGTCAAGTTGTCCCTTTATTTTTTTCATTCCTTCTATTGGGTGTGAGAAAAGGCGCAGTTGGGATTCGTTTCATATTTTTTTCGCTCTTTTTTGGGCGGACTCTTTGGGGGTAGCTGTGTAAGCCGCAAGGTTATTGCACTGAAGCCAAAAGTAGCTGTCATTTATGATAGGCTGAGTCGAGTGCAGGCAGTTCCCCCTGTTTGAGGTCTGCGTTGAGTAATGAGTAGGCGGAATACGTGAGGTGGAGTATATTTAGGTGGGTCTTTACTGTAAGTTATTAAGGTAAGGGCAGGGCAAGCGAGCTGCAGTAACGAGGGTGTAGATAACAGAAAGCTGACATATATATATATTATACATTCATATTTAATATATGTCATTACATGACTCAGGGCGTATAGCAATTACTAATTACGAATCAATATTTATAGCTATTTTTATAAGTCTATGTAATGTGTATGTATACGTATATGTGAATAATCAATAGATATATAGAAGAAAATGTAGAATGATATCAAATATTAATATATCTTTATGTGTATTTCTATATATATTCAAGTAGGATAGATAGGTATCTAACATAACCTTGCATCCAATAAAAGATAATATAGATGGATATTTATATTTATTAATATCTATATAAATCTATCTATATAGGAATCTATATCAGCATTCTTATATTCATGATTTCCCCTCATGTTCATGTTTAAATATTACGCCACTCTATATATCTCTACTCTCATCGTATATAGATCTTCTAGCCATTATATATACGTAAAATAGTATTGTAGCTAAATACTTCATCTCCATATCAACACAGTTCATAAGAAGCAGATAAAGCTTAACCTGCAGGAAGTGTCAAGTTGCTCTGATATCATATAGCTTATGGCAAATCAGCTATAATCTATATTCAATCTAGAATACAGTTCTAGAGCTAATATAAACAAGTGTGATATAAAGACAGCACAGCTAAAATGAAGTTTAGTTAATGAAGACTTTCAATATGTTTCTAGAACCGCCCATAAAATCTCTGTTATAAAATCCAAAAACTTCTGAAAGTCCCTAAAATTTATAGGCCTTAAAACTACTTTAGAGACATTTGACAAAGCTACTTATATACCTTTTTCTTTCTTTGCGCATCAATTTATCTTTTCCACGAAAACTGTATCAAAACTGTTTTTTTTTCTTCGATTGTATTTTTCTCGAAAAAAAAAAATCTTAGGTAAAATGAAATGATATCAAATACCGTAACATCATATAAAAACTCAGCCGGACAAAAGCAGTTTCAAGGGCTCGCGGCCCTTGACGGTTGACCGTGTCGTAAAGTTATATTGTGAGTGTCGACTGTGTCAATAGATAGATGATGCGACATATCCATAAGGTATATATGGATAATATATGTGTATATAGCTACATATACATATATAGATACGTGCTCCATATGTATAGGCAGAATGTAACGTATTTTGTTATTGATGTTATTGCTATTGTTGTCGTCATTGTTATTGTTGTTGTTGTTGTTGTTGCTTTATTCATATGCTAAATTTAACAGTCGGAGCGCGCCCAATTCGAAAATTTTCAATTCCGATTCATAAATATGGCGGGGGCAGCAGCAAATCAAAAGCAATTAAAATGCAAAGCCGCAGAACAGCAGAAAAAAAAGGGGCAATAATAATAATGTTGTTGTTGTTGTTGTTGTTGCTGTTGCTGTTGTAGTAGTCATAGTTGTTGTTGCTCTGACGTTGATGAGCTTGCCCGCGCCAATGATTTGTGTTTTTTATTGAAATGTTGACGTGCTTACTAATCAACCAAACGGTCCGAGTTGGAAAACACACACATTTCGGATTCTATATTAATCATGCGCTGCACACAGGCAGACAGAGTGAGAGAGTGAGAGAGAGAGAGAGAGATAGAGTTGTAGGATTTGGATTTGGGTAGGGCATAGCGGTCGCCTACCAAGAACAGCACAGGAAATCGAAAACGAAATGCAGCAACAATTGACGGCTGCCGCATTTGGTGGCACACAGAACTCTCTTAAACAGTAGCACACACATATAGAAGAATATAGTAAAAGAACCGTTTGTCGAAGTTCTATATTGGGTTCATTGAGCATTGTGTCAGACCCAAAAAAAAAAAAAAAAAGTTTAATTTATGCCCACAGTTCTACCTTGGCTATGACACTAGGTAACCGTAAGAGTTCTGTTTACAGACGAAACGAAAGTTTTTCATTTGTGATGGCTATGTGAGGTGTTTATGTGAGTGTATGTGTGTGTGTGTGTAAAAGGGAAATCCCTTTTTTGGGCAACTTTGTTGCCATTTATAAACAAATGCTGCGAGCTTAGAGACAAATAGAGAGAGAGAGAGAAAAAAGGGGCTGGGCCGTGCTAAGGCTGGCTGTTTGGGGCTGTGGCTGGGCTTGGCAATGCCGAGGATGGGCTTTTGTTGCTTTGCTTGTGACCCAGAAAAATGAAAATACAATAAGAAAATGTTGCGCCCGCCTTTTGTAAGTGAAATTTTCATCTAGACGCTGCATGTCTTTGTTGTCAATAAAACAAAACACGAAAGTCCCAATACCATTCAATTCGAGAGTGTTGCTTGCTGCAGGAGGGGCAGCCCAAGATGAGAAGTGTGCGTTGGTGTCAGCTCTACGACAGACCATTAACTCGCACTGCCTCAGTCTCAGCTGCAGCCGCCTCCCCAGCCCCAAAGGCTGTCCCTGCCCCGGCTATCAGAGTGTGGGCAGCAATGGGCATATAATCGAGCTGATAATGAACGGGCTAAACAAATTGTTGTTGTCTAATGGATTGTCAGCAGTGAAAGGCCGCATCAAAAAAAAAAAAAAAAAAAAAAAAAAAAAAGAGTGTTTAGAACTCTTTAAGGTGGCAATAACAAAAAGCAACTTTCAAGTTGAGTGAATGCCTAATGTTTGGCCAACTCAAACGGTTGAATGCTATCCATAAAGAGAGCAGATAGTTCTGGATAATAAATATCCATAGAGCAGAAACCGACTTAAATTTGCATACAATTATCAATTAGTTGGGAGAATTTGGAGAGCTTTCTCAATATTTACCGCTTCCAATTTTCTAGCCAACTTAAATGGCAATATTCAAATAGAATGCTATTTAAATGGATCACGCATTGTTTCAAATATAATAAATAAAACGTATTTGAAAAGATATTTGGTAAAGACATTTAACAACATAATTGTTGTTAAAAAAAAGTTTGTGTTATCTTTATTGTCTTTATTTTTATTTTTGTTATATTAATTAAATATTATAAAACATTTGGTAATAAAACAAAAGCTTAAAACTTTTATTATTATTAT